TATGATTGCGTGCTTACAGTAAAATTCCCTTTACGGCAGCCGGCATGACATGGATGAATGAGCGACAACAGACAATTTAAAAATAGCTTCCGCCTTAAAATAATTTAAATGTAAATGTTCATAACTTGTTTGTTTAAATATCGGAAACCTTCTGAACGCATTTTGAAAACGTTGTTAACGAGATCATTAAAATAATTATTAAAATAACGATCTTCTGTTATGTGAAAATATAAAAGAAAATAATATAAATAAGAACGCAGGAATTTAATAACGACTTAGCTTTTAAGAGACGTAACAAAATTATTAACAGCGATCCAATTATTGGACACTGTCTTCTAATTATCAATAAACTCAGGGGCATCTCTTTCTCCTGTGTGAAATCTTTGTCACATTTTGCCTTGCAGAATAAGGATCTTCTGTTCAGTGAAAACATCGAGAAAATGAATTGAAATAAGGACGCGGGAATTTAATAACGTCCTGTGCGTTAAGAGATACTACTTAAAATATGCACGAGACCCGGGGGAGATGAGAAAATGTTAGCGCACCAGGCAGTCATTTGTTTGGTAGACAATGAAACCATGTTAACATTCAAGAATGTTTTTAGCGCGCACTGTCATCCATAATGCAAAAGACAGTTACGCGACAGTTACACGAGGACTGTAGCGAATAATTAAGAGCGCAAGCCTGCAGTCTTCGTCAGTATTTGATGAAAGTATTGGATATCTCGCGCATATCCGTCGTCACAGTTTCCCATTTCTAAAGAAAGGTAGGACATCAAACAGTGCTTCTGTATTTTAAGTTCCGTACAGAAGTTGACACCTTTTTTTTTTTTTTGGATTGGGTCCTTAAGGATCAAATCATAAGAATTGTTTGTTTTTTTTTTTACACGAGTCGGTCCTGTTTCTTTGTTGTAGTAAAGAAAGCTATGGAGGCGAAGCTTTGTTTGTGCTTGATGTTGATTATTTTGGGGACCTTTACCGTATAAGGAGCACTCCCAAGAAACAAGAAGAGCAACCCCTTGGAAGTTTTTGCCAGGCGAGCTCGTAAGGGTCCCTTTGATCCATTGATGACGACTGTTTGTTGTTAGAACGTCTTTTAAGAGTAGTGGACATGGCAACTAAAATGTAATGCAATTCTTGGTTTGTGTGGGATCGACTCCTTGATGACTAACAAACGAACGACCTTTCCTTGTTTACAGCGTGCTCGCGATACTGTACCGCTCTTTTGCCTTGCTAGCCACCCTATTTTTATGAGATGGATACTGTGGGGATCCACATTTCCCGTCATGCTGCTGCAGAGTAATCAACTGAGGTATGAATTCAAGGAATATAATAAAATAACACTTTCTCCACCCAAACCTCGTGTCTTTGTTCTTTCGCTCACATAATTAAATACGTTGTCAGCCGTTGTCTCCTCGGAATTGTCCCGCTGCTCTCCATATGGATGACATGATAGAAATGAGTTTAGTATTGACGTTGATAGGATTAAATATCATTAGTAAAATTTTCGCTTCTTTTTTCACTCGTTTTCTTCTGTTAGAATGGTGTGCATCGGCTACACAAAAAGTTTGCTAAAGCTTTGTCTACCCCTACCCGCGAGTACGTGTTCTTTCGCTTTCATATAAACAAAATGTACAGTAATAAACTGGAAAAAGTGGCACGAGACAACCTTCAACTACGTTGCCATTTTTGTTTTAACATTAAAAAAGGTATTGAATGTATAGACACAAGAATTTCGGTGATCTACACCGCTCACTGATTTGCGTATTGTCACTAGAATGCAATAATCCGCAAAGCCAAGCATCCTCTTGAAAAAAAGAGAGATTTGGCTTTTATAACGATCGGTTACTATACTTGTATTTGCGTGTGCATTACATGGCGTAGAAAATGTATTCAACAGGTCACGAGAAAGGGAAAATAGCGCCGGATTTTAAATAGCCCCGTGCTCATGTTGTCACACAAATTGTTTGTTATGCGTATCAGTCCAACAAAACGTGACCTCGTTCCCAGGGCCTTTTCCCTGTGAAAAGGCCCTGGGAACGAAGTCGGACAAAACGTTGAACCTCAATAAAGTAGAGTTGCATCACACTGGTGTATAACCCTGGATGATTACAAGTTCTCTTTTCTTTTTCCAGGAAATGATGGCGACAATGATGTCTCATCGATGAAATTACGGCGTAACAAACCGTTTACATAGTTGGTAAAATAAGGGCTGACGAAGTAACTGAATAAATGCGGGTAATGCTGATAGATGCGTAAATGCAGTGGATAGAAAAAAACACTTGATGTAACAAGGGGATAAATAAAGGTTGAATCATTCAAAAACATCTCATTTGCCTCCATCATTTATTCAAACAGCAAGTAGGAAATAAAAGTAGGGGGTAATTTTGGGATGCAACATCATTGACTTCTCTGCGCAAAAAAAAAAAAAAAAAAAAAAATCAATCAATAAATATACTCGCAGGGCAACCATTATGTGAAAGTTGATTTAGTTAATCTAGACTTTCCAAAATGTTCGGCTTTGTACAAGTGCTAGTTCGAGTCACAAGGAAAATCAAAGGACATTAGAATCAAAAGGACTTTACCTTTAATATCGACCGAAAGCAGAAGCCATAATCGCGGACGGAGACCGTAACAAAATAGCATTTTGATGGACGAGATAAACCCCCTAGTATGAATTTTGCCATTTTTAGAACAAATTGCACCATCGCGTTGGCACACGCGCGTACTGCAGCGAGGACGCCGTGCAAACAGAAATGAAAATCCTTTCGTTTCCATTCCAAATTTAACTCGAGCCCTTGTTGAGACAGGAAGCCGTAAGCTCAAAGCCGGCTAAGTTTTCCTTCGATGGCGTGACAAACCCTTTAATCCTGTAAAAAGCGTGTAGCGATGGCGCAAGTGTTGAACATGATTATACTGAAGTTTTCTGAGCAGTTTCCATTTCAAGTCTTCCAAATTTGACTCGAGCCCTAGTTAATTACATCCTTGACAGTAACTCAAAAAGCGAGATTCATGTAAGAATGAATGCAGATACAGTTTTTTGAACATGTCAAAACCAGTCGGACACATCGTATCGATAGTCTATAGTACAATTTCCTGAAAACTCCCCGTTAGTTTGGGTCACGAAATTAGGCCTTGGCGGATTGTGCTAGCATAATTTTTGGCATAATTGGAGCAAAAAAGCGTAGTTTTTAAACGAGCACTGCTACGGCTTAATTAGCAAATTTTAGCACTTTTTGGAGCATAAATTCATAAAATTTAGTAAATATGGTGTATTTTCTACATAAATAAATTAAATTTAGGTAGCATGTTCTTGCAATCCGTGATTTAGCTACGCTAATAGTAGTATTGACTTTGTTCTGACATGCTTAGTTACTAGGCCTCTTTTGGCGAATTCTGGCAAATTTAGCGATCAGCAGGACAGCGCTCTTGCAGACTCTTTCCAGGCCAGAGTAATGTTGCAGTACAATAAGCGCCGATGTTGACTTGTGTATACTATTCTTATCCATGTTTATTCAAGCAATTATTGGTGCTGAAAGACCTCAAAACTGTCAAGACAAGTTGATTTACTTCGTGGCTTGATACTTTCAACGTTATAGTTCGCTATAGTTTGAGTTAGTTTAAATCAAGAGAGTACTATATTCTTTTGGTTCAGTCAGTATATACAAGTGTGATCGTTAAGTCGTTGAAGGCATTTTACAAACGGTTCAGAGATGCGAGCAGCTAATTTGGACAGCTGAGGGCCGAGACAGAGTTTTTCACCCAGGGCAAAACTTGTGAGTTTTCATGAGCTAGGCAGAAGCACATCAGTGGCACAACGAGTTGATTTGTTAAATAATTTGTGTATCCATTCTTCCATCTAATTCATTTGCCGGGACTCCTCATAACGAGCAAATAATCATGTTTTTACATTTTTCTAATCATTTTTCTTGTTGCCCGGGTTCTGACTGGAAATTCAACTGAGTCAGGATAGCGAGTCTACCAAAAACCTGACTCGAAATCCAACTCAAAATCCAGACTCGAAGAGAAAATATCTTCTGTTAAAGTAGGTCATTGTCTTCACCGACTCCCTATACCGTTAAGTTAATCAGCACGTTTCTCCCAGTCATTTTGAACTTTTGAATGGATAGATGCATTCATTAGAGAGCAAAAAATAAAGACTGAGACTATGGCAATGTCCATGGTTAAGTTCTCTTCCCTGGTATTTAGGGTGTTTATGATGACTATACAAAAAACAAAAAGGAAAAACTTTGGACCAGCTTGTTCATCATCGAAATTGAGACAACGGTAAGCATCCAGGTTCATTGTGCGACAGAATTATTTCCCTATTCCGTCATCAGGTCAGAGAAGCTATACTTTTAACCGCCAACCATCGAAGGTCCCACAGCCCACCCCGCCCGTATTGAGGGACACTGTATTAGCGCGGTCGACCGGACTGGTTCGGTTTCCGTGATCTCGCCTCGCCACTCCTTCCTTCGTGTTCATATGCGAGGCCGGGCTCTCGGTAACCGGCGGGATGAAAATTTTCCGATTACAACACCCCAGCACGAGTGGCCGGGACAAAACTTACTTGACAAAATAGCTTCGCTTTCGCAACATAGCGGCTAAAATGGCGTAATTTTTGTCTTGTATGTATTTTCACTTCAGAAGTATGCGAATTACCTTCATTAGTAAAGTTACAAGAGTCTACAAAGCTACGATAGTCGCGAACAAGACAAGTTTATGTTCCACCATTTTGGTTGTGTTTCTTGAATTTCACTGGCCGGTCTACCGCGCTGAAATTTCCCGCCATATGAACAGACAACAAAATTCGTGCCGGTTATTGAGCCACGCCCGGTTACCGGACTCATATGAAGAGGCCCCGACACCCTCAAACAGCACGAAACACAGCATTTCAAGGCTCAACATTTCAGTCTTCCGCATCACTGATCAACACGTGTAGCTCATTGTCATAATCAATGAATCATTAAGCAAGATATTTTTACTATGACAGCCAATTATAATGTCATTTCAAGCAAGACAAAACAATTTTTGAAGCGCTGTGCGACGTTTTCTAGACTCTAGACTGCAAAACACATTTAGGGCCTAAATATCGCCCCGGTTAGCCTGAATATCACCGGATTAGTCTAAATAGCACTCAGGTTAATCTGAATATCGCTCAGGTTAGTCCTTTTGCGGTTAGCTATCGATAATAGCATGGAAATGGGAATAGGACATTAGTTAAAAACCTCACAGTCTGCAGTCTGCAAATGTCGTGTAGTATTTACAAAATTAGACTCGGTCGCTATGTGGATGGCAGCTCTGATATTATATGGTGAAAAAAAAAAGACTTAAAAATAGAAGGGAAGAAGGCGCAGATGGATGACAAACATCAGAATTTTTAATGGGATGACTACAAAATTATGTTAATGATCTTTGAAATAATTTTTGTGCCACGCTTCTCTGAGTTGTTTACATTAAGACAACTTGATTCTTTTCCTTGTTTCCAACTGATTTACGTCACCTTTCTTTTTTGTCCTTCATAACTGATACAATCATTTCAAAACTCCAGGCTTGTATAAGTCGGTAACTGATAACTTTGTGAATTTGGAAATGTTTGGCAAAACGTACTTCTTAATCTTTTGCTTCCTGGTGCCGTCGAAGACTGTCTCTGCCAACGGCAAATCTCAAAATGCCAGCTTAAAATCAGTTCTGGATGACAAAACACCACAGTTAGCTGACCAAACGTTTAACATCAACAACTGGGGCCTCGGGAAGATTGAACTAAAGCTGCTGAATGATATCAAAGCCAAAATTGACTTTTTGTCTGATAAAGGTAAATTGCGTTATAATTCCAAATAAAGTCCTTAAGCGGCTCGATTCGCAATAGCTAGCTAAAGATAAATCTCGTCCCCGGCTTAGATAAGATCAGCGTTCAAATTCGTTAATTTTAGCTCCATTTTGATTTGATCAGTTTCAGTCACCAGACCTGCTTGTCCGGAAGGTTGGGTTCTTCGTGAAAAGTCATGTTTCCTCATCATCAACGTCCCAACACTAACCTGGAGCGACGCTCGGAGAACTTGCCAGAATCTGGGAGGAGACCTCGCCATAATCAGGACAGCTGAGGAAAATAGCTTCATCTTTGGCCTGGTGAAGAAGCAGAAGACAATCACAGAGTGGGGCGTGTGGCTTGGCTTTACCAAAAAGTCGGACAAGAAGTACTACTGGATTGACGACACCCCACTGGAGGGTCATTATTCTCCGTGGGGAAGTGGGGAACCGAACAATGCTCTTAACAACGAGTACTGTAGCAACATGTTTGGCAAGGGAAGTAGACCGGGAAAGTGGAATGATTTATGGTGCTCCCTGAAAGAAGCCCAACTTAAGTACGCCCCAAGCATTCTTTGCCAGAAAAAAATCCAGCTGAACTAACGATGGTGCTATTTTCTTTATTTTTACCGTAGAAATATACTAAGATCAAACTTGGCTAGGATAAAAGGCATCAGTCCGCTTATAGTACACTTGGTATCGTAGAGTAAGTCATTCGCTTGATTCCCGATCATTTTGTCCCTTTTTATTTCAGCTGCTGTGTAAAAGAGGCAAAATAAGAATAAAAATACTATACACTGATGACTGCAACGAATTGTCAAACTTGTGAGTTACATTAATAAATTCCTGACCCGAAATTCTTGAACAAATTTGCAACGGATTTGGAAGATCGCGCAACTGTGTCGCTTTTTACAGAGATTCAAACTTAGATGTTGATTAATCGGATCGATATTCTGGGTTTCGTAAGTGAAAAAAAAAGAGCATACCAAGATAAATATCACTGACTTTTGATGCACAACAGCCAGGTAAGTATGGGAAAGGATAGCTCTTACGGCAAATATTGGTCTGTTTAGCTGTGATTCGAAGATCCCACAGAAAGTGGAGTAACGTTAATGTATCGACAAGTACCTAGAGAGAAACTGCGGCAATGCGGCAATGCGGCAAGCGTAAGCGTTTTATTCAGTCATGAACTTCGCTACTCCAGGTGGGTGTTCGAGCGAGTAAGTTTCCTACTCAAACAATGAAAAATTGTCTTTGAAAAACTCTTGTTCACTTCAGTTGGGTGATATTACATTCATGACTACCGTTTTATTTAGCGAGAGTATTTTACTGATGTATTCAACGAATAAGGAACGCGTTCAGACATTTGAGGGTGAAATGAATATTAGGCCTTTAGTTGAGCCACGTCAGTCGGTTCCAGACTTTTAAGATAAGCACATCATCATCTCGTTTCCATGGCAACCCAGGCCCCTCAAATATCACAAAACTGGGTTTGTTTCCGTTGGTGCCTTCCGAGATTTCCACCAAGATGCTATTTGCTGCCATTAATTCGCAAATGCTCTTCCCTTTTTTTACCTCCTTCGATTGAATCTTGATTGCATGAACAGACAACTTTCCTGGGGTACAAATCCCCGAAAGTCATTCCGTTGAATTGTCTACAGTTGACACGCGACTTCTTTTCAGCAAAAAAAAAAAAAAAAAAAAAAAAAAAA